TGACTGACTGAAATGAATTAACTGGAGGGCCTGCACCCTCTGAGAAGTTTTTCTAGCTTTATTTACTATTTAAACTGTAAATGAACAAAAACTTGAATTAAAGTTCTTAAAGTAGTCTATTTTATGCTTAAAGGAAGAGAAAATGTAGTTGCATGAACTGAATGATTTGGTGAACAAATCTTTCCAAATAATTTTAACAAATAATTTTGATGAATTATGTAAAGTTAGGATAACAGGAAGCCATTAAAACCATTAAAATTTTGTGGCGATAAAAAGTAACCCCACTGTTACTTTAACTACCTTAATATCACAGTAACTAAGGTATTTGCCCTCATTATGAGCAAAGTAACTCCTTAAAATTTACTTTCTCATCACTCCTTATTGATTTTTTTTAACCTGAGCTGTGGATCTCTGCAGCTCCTCCAGTGTTATTACTGGCCTCCTGATGAGGATTCTCCCTGCTCATCATATGAGCTCATTTGGACCATGTTATGTTTGTAATTGTGGTAAACTCAATGTGTTTTCTGAACAAAAAGTCTTTGAGATATTAGACAATATGGATGGTATGGTTGTATAGGATTTACTGCAACCATGCTTCTCAACAACTCTCTCCAGGACCTGTTGGCTGTCTTTCTTCTGCATTAATATTTTCCAGCAAACTACTGAAGCACTGAAATAGCTGCTGTAGTCAAAAATACTATTTCAGAGGTATCAGATTATAGGAGGACGAATACAAATACATTTTTTATAACTTTAGATTTTTGTTAGCTGAAAGCTTGTCTTGAAAAGTTGCCTTACTTCATAGATACATCATTTTCTACCCTCTTTACAATTGTACTTTCAGAAATAATCTGAAGTTTATGGTTATACCAAATAAATAAAAAATAAAAGTTGCAAGAGTTTTTTAAGCCCCCCCCCCCCCCCCCCCCCCATACCCACAGTATTTAACAGGTTACATTATAGGATGCTTCTTATTTCTGTAATAAGTTTATAAGTGCAAGTTTCAACAGTTGAAGGCCCTACCTTGCAACAATGAACACTCCATTAAATCTTGAATAAAAATCAATCATTTTAGTGTGTGAGGAGTCCGAACCCAGGAAGGCTTTTAGCGTGAGTGAGTAGTGTGTGTTTGCTCTGCGTTCAAAGCTGTATTTATCTGACTCTGTCTGAGTCTATTGATGTGAGTGTTTATCCACTTGTGCTTCATATGTGAAAATGGATGCCCTTGTGGAAGGTGCCCTCAAGGAGAGCGGCCTAACTTGTCAGATCAAGAGAACGCTGTATTTATAGGTAAACAAAGGAGTGCCTTTGCCCACGGGGGCCCCAGCGAGCACTATCCACAGATCAAACTGTTGGGAGGGATTTTATTTAGAGAAAGCGTGTGTATGCGTGTGCATGTGTTGCGGATTGGCGACTGGTGGGTGGCTAAAAATAAATAAATAAATAACTAAAACCTGACCTTTCGGGAGCTGTTAAATCGTCCCACTGGTGACGCCAGGAGACAAGCCCCTCAGGTGGAAGGGAATGGCTGCAGAGTGAATTATTTAGAATGGGAGTGAGGATTTGCAAAAGAGGGGGGGTTGAAGGGAGAGGAGGTTCATGTGTGGGTGGAAGGGGTTGACGTCGAGAACTGATCCCCCCTGACAACCCTCATGAAGCTTTCTTCGGAGGATCTCCCCCTCGCACATCCTCCCTCCCTCCCTCCTCCTCCCGCCACTCCACTTTAGTTTTACGTTCAGCTGATCTGGTCCCGCTCCCCTTCGCTCCGTCACTGTCTGTCTTTTAGCCCTCAGCCCAAAGCCCGTCGCACCACATGTGTCAGAGCAGCCACCAACTGTTCGACAGTGACAAGAATGCCGTCTCTAATCACACTAGCTGTCTGGAAATAAAACCACAGCACTCTTTTATTTTCATTTAATTCATTCCTTGATGTTAAAGAAAGCATATCATTTTGAATGAAGTAAAAAAAAAAACATTATATCCCTGTAACCCATGTAACCCAACCTAATGTGAAAAAAGTTATTGGCTTTGTTATTAAAACATGAATAAACTGTGATTGCCTACATTTGAAGCACCTCGCTACCCTCAAACAAACCTTATAGATATCTTTAATAAAAACTTCCTGACAACTTGAACTAGGCTGAACAATATCAATAAAGAGCACATCATGCACTGATCTACAGAAACTTAAGAACAGAAAAGAGAAGGAAAAAAAAATGTTAATCAACTTCTATCAGTCTTGGATAGGGTTTCCAGCCATTTGTATGGTTTTTGCACTCCAGAGAACTACCAACCCCTGGTCCATTTTATAAAACAGTAAAGAAACTTCCAAGGACTGATCGCTATACTAAATTTACCCCAAGAGTCAAAGTTGACTCATCCCCAAGGTCACAAAACAATCTAGAGTATAATTTGAAGCACAGAAGACTTGCTTCAGTTAAACTCAGGGTTAATAATTAAACAATAAAAAAGAATGTCAGCAAAAGGGAACCTATGGAAGAGCTCAAAGTCATTGCTGACCAAAAAGAACACAAAGCCAGTCTGATATCTTCCTAAATAAAACATTGAATGTTGCCAAATACTAGAGGAGAAATGTCTTTAGACTTAGGGGAAGAAAATGGGAGCTTTCGTCTATAAGGCGTAAAAGCAGCGCAGCTTATATGGAAAACACGACATTAGTTTAACTTTTTGTTGATAAGATGACGGTCTGGTGCTGCTTTAAAACCATTTATTGATTCTTATGTGTTGAGCCTACAATGACACTAAGGCCGGACAACTTGCCTATGTGATAAAACCGTGCTATTTAATCAGCCGCTAGAAAAACCTGAAGGATAACATCTGGTTACCAATGCATCAGCCTTATGTAGCATCAGTCTGGCCAGCCAAACTAATTTTTGCAGTGTATAAGATGTATTCATCTGGAAAAGAGCAGGTAGAGCACCATTTAAAAGCGGGGGCTAACAGACTCAGTGGACACAGTTCAGAAACAATCAAATAACTACAGATGTGACACAAAATCCTCTTAAAAAAAAGGAAAATCTCTTACAGCAGTCAGTTATTAAAATTGTAACAATACACACACAATAAAGGTCATAATTAAAACATTACGGCTACAAAGTTGACTATTAGGGTTACAGAAAAACAATGTTTCATTATGGGCCTGCCTGTGTTTGGAAGATCTAGGAGGAGTAAATTCTGCAAATCATTGATTAAATGAAATCTGCTTGGTTTCCTTAGAGAGAAAACTTCAACAGATTTTTCTCTATGAACAAATATCTATGAACAAAAGAAAACAGAGTGTTACTCCTTACCAGACTGACTTACACGTACATGTAAGTCAATCTAGTTGGCCAGGCTAATGCAACAGTACAAAGTACGAGCACACGCTATGAGAACAAGCAAGAGTGCTGCAGTTTTGATGTTATGGGCACAGGTGGCAGTGATCATTAGAAACCTTTGTCACGACCCTTTAATGAATTGAACCATTCATTGAAAGCTCATTTTTAAATGTCAAAGACAAAAACATAAAAGAAATCCATTAAATTTGTTTAAGGTACCTCACAGATTCACTTCAATGATATTTCCGTTTAAGTTTTCACTTTATGGAAACCAAAGAGATTGCATCCAGCCAGTGATTTACAGAATTCCCTCCTGGATGATCCTGGATGATTATGTAGTGAGAGTGAAGAATTATTTGCACTGTGTCATTGACCTTGCAGCAATCCCTCATACCGAACATGCATGCAGCATTTCCTCAGGTTGTCTCAGTCTGAACATAAACCTAATCTGTTGATCTACTGTACAATGCTGAGGTGTGACAGAAAAACAAGCTAAGAAAAATTTGTATGGGTGTCAGCTGGCTGTTCATTTCTAAATATATAATGTGCTTCAATTATAAAATACTGACTTCCAATGACTAATGTACTGGAATAGAAAACATATTTGCTACTAGTCAGTTATAAAAGTTTATTATACGAGTTACACCTACAATTTTTAAGCGCGGTATGCTGGATCTTTGCAGGCCAGGGAAACAAGGAATTCCAATCTTGATGCCTCATCATACATCTCAGCACATGGATCTTCGTGTGTTTGTCAGCTTTTTGCATCAGGATAAAGTAGGAAGTCAACTATGGGAGATTCAGCCTTAAACCCTGGAGCCAGGAGGTCAACCTGCGGTGGATTATGTGTACACACAGACTCTTCCACTCTGACCCTAGAAAGCTCTACTTTCACAGCTCCACTTTTAGATAGGGGCAGACGCATGTCCATCACCATGGTGACAGCTGCATGCCGGAGCTCGGCAGCATCAACAACTCACCCCGAACAGCAACATCGGCTCCGACACTCCTTCAGGAAACGAACCCGACTCCTATAAGCACGACAGCATTCGAGCTCCACAACTGACAGCGAGCTAACGCGCTCTCACGCACCAAGCATCTAAAAATGGGTCTTTGTTTCAATTAGTATCTGGATACTCCAAGCTGTGCTGCAGCAGCTTTCTAATCTGTGGAGTGAAGAGTCGATGGAGACGGAGCGGGCCGCTAGAACAGATGGGCCCTGCATGACACTGAGCCTCCAGCAGGGTCAAAATCAATGCTCATAACTGAAAAACAGCATAGAAATAAATAATTATATTATTACAAGATTGCTCTGCATTGCCGGTGCAATCTAATTAATGGCTGTTTTGTTTTTAGCTTGTTGCTTTTTTCCTTTTTTCATTCGAAACTGTGAACATTACGTGTTTCAGGAGCAAAAACTTGAAGTGATGAACACAAACTTCTAATAACGTTAGCGGGCTTCCCTTTTTCCCCTCAATTCCTTAATTTTCTATAATACTTTGACTTTTCTTTAAAAACAACAACAAAAAGACTTTGGCATTTATTGTGGAAAATAGTTTGAAAAAAAATACTGTAAAAAACAAAACTTTTTATTGATGTTGTTCGAAATGACTTCGGTTAATGATTTTTATGTCACTGGTGTTGTCTTTTTCGTCATCTTAGACCTGTCTGACCAATTTCTGGAGGTAGTGGGACTGGAAGGAGCCATGGAGATGGGGCAGATCTACACGGGCCTGAAGAGCGCTGGAAGACGTCTGGCCCAATGCTCCTCTGTAACCATCAGGTCTGTCTTTCTTCCCCAAAAATACCTTCTGTTCGTCAAAGACTCAGAGCAGTTATTGATACCTTAAGTAAAGATGTGTAAAATATATTTAATTTAATAATTTTGTCTATTTTGCAGTAGATTTATCTCACACTGCCAAATAAAAAAAACTTTAACCTTCAATACAGGAATATTAATGGGAAACACTTCCTACTGTAGTAAATATGTATGACAATTCTATGTACACCTTAAGGTTTATACTTCTTATAACCTCCTTTTATTGATATGTCAGCTCATAACATTCTACCATAAGATTTTATTATGTGGAGCTGGTAGAGAGGAGATTATTTAATCATTTTTATTTGCATTACAGCAATGTAATATAATGCTCTTCTTCTCACTTCATCCCAGATGTTTTCTCTAAGTTTCAGGTCTGGAGACTGAATTAGTAAATTAATAAGTTAGATAAGGAGTATGTTGAGGCATTCTGTGTTGATCTGATCTTGTGTTTCACAAGACCTGGTGTTAACTCCTTTTAGCAGCTTTGCCTTCAAGCCAGTCCCAGTACTAAACTGGGACTGGCTTGAGGTGCTCGCCACCAATTCTATTTGAATCCACTATCCTTGAAAGCTTTACTTCCCCAAAAAACAGATTTTTTTTCTCTCAGCACCAACTCTGAGCAGGGCCAGACAATAGAAATGCTGTCCTCAGGAAAACAGGAGGTTATTCAGGCATCTTATTCAGGTGTGTTGAAGCGAATGTTTTCTGAGCAGCAGCTCTAAAGGAATTAAGTTAGATACCTCTTCTCCTAATGCTGATATAAGTTAAGCGCCTACAAACAGCAGTTCTTTCTTAATATTCTAGAAATAAATTAATCTTCTGATATTAGAACCAGGGAAGCTTCGACCTGTGGTTTTCTGTCCAATCATCAATCTTTAAAAGGCCTAATATGCAGATTGTGATTATGGTATAACGTGTCACATGTTCTAAGGTCAAAATAGCCCTTCTATATTCCAATTATATTTTATTCAGAAAGATTAAGCAATTCCAATAAAACAATACAAACTTGTTCCAACTTAAATATAGACAGTACACCGGTTTAAATGGCTAAATTACAGACCTTTGTGGAGAATGAAATGGAAGGAGGGTCAAACATTTATGATAAAAATTCCAGTTAGTTCTAAGTTTCTAGAAAACCAAATTATTTTGAACCACCACTTCCAAACAGGCTGTAGCACCGGTTTCAGTTTAACATTGGCGCAGGTTTGTTGGAAAAGCCATGTTTCAGTTTTTGAGCAGAAGCTACCAGCTCTGTATTTGAAATGTGTATTTTTCGGGGTTTTCCGAATACTTATCCATTGTTTCACTCCACATCCATCAGTTATGTTTGTAACTTACTCTCCTCTGATCAAAATACACAATTTCATTAAACTCTGAGAGCTTTTTCTCAAATTCCAGGTGTTAACGTTTGAAATGGTAAGAGACACAATGGATTTTCTTGGCATGCTTCCAAATTGGTTCCCAGACTCCTTATAGATGTTGTTATGGAGACTTCCTGACCCTAAGATGCCTTTTTTAACGTTACTGTGGGACAATGAACATTTTCTATTTTACTTATCCCATTACTCTACGGGGTAGAGTGTTAAAATTTGGTTCTCACCAAGCCTTAACATAATTTTTTTTACCTGAATTGCTATTTAAAATTGTTTTTTGTGTCACATCTATTGATTCTTTGATTTGAGTTTAAATGAATAAACAGAGTGCTGAGAAATTTCTGATTTGTTTTTATTTAAGAGGAGATTTCTAAAAATGTCCTTATTACAGCTACTGAAAAACTAGATGAGTTAATTTCAAAATGCTTCGCCCATCTTTGCCATAGGTTCCAATACTACTGTTTACATTTATAATTACGTGTTATTGAAAAGCGTCTGTGTATAACACAACCTGTCTGGTTTGGTTTATCTGTATTTTTACTGCATTGTATTTATAACCTTGTTTATAACCTACAGAACCAGTAAATCCCTCCCAATGCAGATTGACGGCGAACCTTGGATGCAGACTCCCTGCACTGTAAGTCATTGAATCAATTTACTGTCTCACAACATGTTGTTCAAGCAAAAGACAGCCAATCAGCTGGAAGATTTAGGAGTGATGTATAGCGCTGTAGTTTACAGTTTAAAGATGAATATTTCTTTATTGGTATTTCTTTTTACTTCTAAGTTTTTCACTGCAAAACTGAAAACGAATAGTAGGACCAATCCATTTAAAACATTTTCAGGCTTTTCAGTACTCTAACTCAAATCATTTTGTGAATCAGTTAATTAACTGCAGGGCAATTTCTATTAAAGACGAGCAAATTTGCTTGAAAAGGTTGGAATCTTGTGTTAGCAATGGTTCCCTAAAGAAAATGTGCAGCCACTATCATGTTAAATTGCCTCATAGGCAGGAAACTGCTGCTAAAACTGTTGTAGCTGCAAGAAAGCTTCATCCAGCTGGATGACTGTCTCCTCCAAAGGACCATGTGAGAGAATTGTATTAACATCAGTGCAGAACATGCTCATCATCCGCGACTGGTCCACCTGTGAGATTGGCACATGCAAAGAATGCTTCACCATCAGTGAGACTTTTAAAACAAAATATTGGCATCCCAGGTGTCAATGAATCAGCAACATTTTAAAGAATTATCAGTATGATGAATAATGACTTTTCACATACTGTAAAATCATCCATTTGCAGGAAAAACAAAACCTTGATGTTTTTTTAAACAAATTAGTTATTTTTTATGCTATTAAAGAGAAAAGGTACCACCGAACACTGCAGCCTACAGTATACATTTAAGAACACCCCCTACCTTCATATTTTATTAAATTTGATAAATTTATGTTTTTCTAACACCTTATGTAGAGTAAGTGCACAGCAAATAAGCACAACTTCCGACATTGCCGCATATTACCTATTTAAGTGTTTGATACCTCGATCTAAAATTACTCCTGCAAACATAAACTCTTGCTTTATATCTCAGTTTTAGTCCAGGAAAATCACCTATTTATAAGGATTTAATAATAATCATTTCTAACTGGATTATTTTGGTTAAAGTCACAGAAGTTTAAAATCACCCCTCTGATATTTTAATGCTACTTCTTCACTTCATTCTTCCTTCTGATCTTTCTTTCCTTTTGTGGCAAGAGTCTTGCTTCAAAAGGTTATCTTGTGCATCCTAAGAAAAATCAGAAGTGTTAGGTCCTCGTTTAATGATGAAAGTAAGTCTATAAAAGCCCCTAACTGCCACAAAGTCAAAGTTCAAGTATAATAAATGGCAGCCTTTACTTTGAAGCTAATGTGCTCCTTTAAATGCAAATGGAAGCTACACATTAGTGCTTCGAGACTCTTGGTGTAGTGGTTTAATGATGTGTTGAATCTGACAAACACTGACAGTCGATGTGAACTGATCCATCAGACATTTCATAACATCATAGTATTATTGCTAATTCAGACAATGTGGATCCATAAAGCCCAATTTGTTTTATAAATTATGATGCACATATGTTACCATTTGAGGTCATAGTAATACATCCCTGGGATTTTCAAAATGTTTTATAGTGAAGTCTATAGATGTACATTTATAAGTCATTTGACAAGAACCCATATGGGAGATTGCTTCTGTTAGTGACGCATTACTGAATTCAGCTCTGCAAGTAGATGACATCGTGTGAAATGAAATATTGGTTGAACCGTCGTTACATATTAAGATAAGTAATTAGGTTTAAAAGTGAAGTTGAAAATGCACTTTAAAGCAACATTTATTTGGGGGAGTGTTGGCCTAGTTGTTAGAGCAGAGCGCTTGTTCTCTGAGAACATTGCAAGTACCCAGTTCGATACCCACAGCCTGCACTCTGGGTCCCTGAGCACTGCTCCCCAAGGAGATGGGTGAAATGCAGAGGTTAATTTCTCCAGTGTGAGATCAATAAAGTTCAGTTTTTATTATTATTTGTCCTGTTTCTATATTTAAAATCTTTTGACCTCCTTTTTAAGACTGGATATCATGTCAGCTTCCCAACTTTTAGCCTATAGCTGGCTACAAGACCATACTTATGAGACTTATGATATTCCTCTTTCTGGAAAGCCTACAAGTATCACAGATGAGATGCAATTTCTGCTGCAACAATTATCTGTCTTATATATGTATGCACCTCCACTGATCTAATAAATGCAAGTTAAATCAGCTTTAAATACAGTTTCATTTACCACTTAAGGTTGATTCACTCTGACGCAGGTTTTTGAGCCATAATAACATGATGCAAAGCAGTGTGAGGGAATAAATTAGGACACAAGGGGAATGATGCAACTGAATAAGATTAACTTAAATTATGAGGGGGGAAAAAAAATTTTTCATCAAAAGAAAGTTTGTAATAATGTAAGTACAATGGGCCTCAGTGCTATATGAGACAGTCTTCCAGGCAAAATATCTGTTTCCCTTTATGTGAGACGAAAACCTTTAAACATTAACAACAGAAAACAAGTCAATCTTTTAAAAAGAAGGCTTTATTCTCCCAAGTTGGAAGATGTGAGCTTTCTTATTTTTGCAAAAACTAAGTCTTGACTTACAGTACTAATTTAGGGAACTCTTTGCCAACTTTTCACATGAACCCTATGTTTACTGAATGAAAAAAAAGGACTCTGTCCCAAATATAAAACATGGAGGATGCTCTGTTATGTTCTGGGACTGCTTTGCTTCATCTGGCACAGGGTGTCTAGAATCTCTACAGGGTTGAATGAAATCTCAAGACTATCAAGGAATTCTAGAGAGAACTGTGTCAGTCGCAGGCCATGGGTCTTCAGCAGGATAATGAACCAAAGCCCACAGCTAAAAACAGCTGAGAATGGCAAAGAGAAAAAGAGGACTATTTTGTAGTGACCACCTGTGAGCCCTGACCTAAATCCTATTGAACATCTTTGGAAGGAGCTGAAACATGTCGTCTGGAAAAGGCAGCCTTCAAATCTGAGACATCAGACAGAAATATTACCCACCTACTACATTGTCATCATACCATCATAGGAGTGCATGCATTTACCAATTGCCTCTGCTGTTAATCATTAAATAGATTATTATGGTTACATTATGTATCAAGAGAAAAACATTTAGCTAAGCTTGTGCACATAAATGGGAATTCCTACTTCAGTTTCACTTTGCTCTCAAGGCATATACATGTTAAATATAAATATATACAATTGGTGGGATAGAGAATAGATTTTATTATGAGAAATTTGGATATCTATCCATTGTTAATGGATATCACTTTATGAACTCATTATCAGGCATTCACTTATTTTCAGAGAAGTAGTAACTAATTTAGGCATTCTCATCAGAGAGGATGTCTTATTTTATTAAAATTGAAAGTAAAATCAAGGCCAACAGAGCTCATATAATTTGAAGGTTTAAGAACACCAAAAAGGAGGAAAAGTTTATTGTCTAATGAATCACAGATGCTGCTGCCAGTCAAAACATTTGTTCTAGAAAATGATTTGATATGGGGTGGTGCTATGGCGTGGAGGTGCATATACCGGCTATAGCAGATGCAGGTACCGGCCCTGCTGGCCTTTGACGAATGTCTTTCTGTTCTAACCAACTTTCCTGTATTCATACTTTCATAAACAACAAAAATAAAGACCAATAGAGCCAAAAAAATAATCTTAAAGAAAATGATATGATGTCATCTTTAAACCAACAATATTTTGTTTTTCTACTCTCTTATTCTCCCGCCAACCCAGTATTTGAAGTATCATGCAGTTTGTTTAACTTTTATTTTAATTCCCCTGTTTTCTACAGCATTCACTGGAGGATTACCTTTTAAAAAATGTTGAATCAGCCATTTTGTAAAATTATATGAAGAGGATTAAAGTGCATTTAGTTGTATTTTGGAGAATATCACATGAGGAAGTCTAGTTCTCTACAAAAACATATAGAATGCTTTGAAAGTTAAAGTCATTGTGTTTTTCTCTTAATATAGATTGAGATTGTCCACAAGAACCAGGCTCACATGCTAATTGGACCGTCACAAGGCCGCAGCTTCTTCTCCTCCATCCTCAGACGAACGCGCTCTGAAAGCAAAGACTAAACCATCATTGTGGGACAGATTTGAGTTCTCTTAAACTCCTGCAGGGCAGCTGTAGGCACGTTTCATTGAGACCCAGTGGTCCAGAGAAAGTGAACTTTGATGCCTGTTTCATAGCCAAGCGCCCCGTAGCATGCTGTAGGTTCGGTTTGTGTTGCCTGCAGCATGAAGATGTGTCTCAGATTGTTGTTGTTGAATCCAAAATAAACTGTGATCAGAACAGACAGTTTGATCTTCAGTGAGCTCCAAAAATACCGAAGTTATTTCTGGAAGTACTCCTCTGTTCTTGTTCTATTTTCTGTAAAAAAAATATTGTATTTTTTGCTGTTCTGCTCTGTGCCAATTTGAACAACCAAACAGATAAATTATGCATTTATAAATTTAATAATGCTCTGCTGTTTATGCTGTTCTGCTGTATTTCTGCACACACCTGATGCATGATGGGGAGTTAAAAAGGGTGATGTTGTCTGCTGACATTTGCTGCAAATTGTAGGGTATTTGCTCAAGACCCCAGCTATATTTCATTACCAGAAGCTTCTAAAATAGAGATCTGTTTGCTCCATAGTCCATACAAGTCATCTTTTTCACAATTTTATCAGCTTTGTTGCTGCTCTTTAACTAGAGGTTTTGAGACACATTTATTCATTGCTCTTCAACATGCATGCTCCTCTTTGCTTATGCTGCATGGGAAATTGTTCAGACAGTTTTACCAGTTCTGTACACACATACTGTTGCATGAGAGAGCAACTGGTTTTTGGACATTCATTAAGTGTTCATCACCTGTTCTACAATTAAAGATTCATTTCCTGTGTGATAAATTAAGCAAACAACAAATAAATGTTGTAACTGACTGTAGAAAAGTACATTGAATGACAACCGCCTGTCGGTGCTCTTGAAAGCATGCAACTAATTCCAGGGTCTCAAAATAAATTGAGTTAAAGTATATATGGTGCAAAAGATGAATATTAATCAATGTTTGCAGTTTTAACCCTTGGCACTGGTCTTGATTCGTTTCTGTATTTTTATTTTCCCTTCACTTGCACCAAGAGCATAAACTTTTAATATTCTTTAGATGTTTTGCACATTTTCTGTAAGAACAGTGTCTTTTTAAAATGCATTCTGCATGTTTTCGGAAAACATAAAATAGTTGGACCAGCTGATATTTCTTTAGAGGTGCCATTTGCAATGCAGAGACTATGATCTGAGTCTCCCTATTTTCTTGTGCTTTGTAAAGTGCAGCATTTGTACAGTGAAGTTGTATTTTTGTACACAGTATGATTTATTTTTCTGTACCTGCTTCACTTTTGCGCTCACGCCGCGTTGTTGTTGCCCACAGATAAGTTACATCTGACTGAGAAAAGTGAAAGAAACAATTAAAGGCTATTGTTGTGTGATCCAGTGTTCTAATATTTCTTTGATTTCTATATTTTGAAATCTTTCAAAAATACTTTTTGGCAATTTCTTCAGAAGGAATGTGAACTTTAACTCACTACTTAATTTCTCTTAAATAAACACAAGAAAAAAAAAAAAAACTGCCTTCTTAAGTGTAAATTGGTCCAGATGTTGACCAAGAAAGACTGCAACATCAATGCAAAGGGCAATTCAACATGCTTAACAAATAATGAAAATATGGATAGTGAAAATGAAATTGAAGAATAAAAAACACCATGGCTGGAAAATGCACCATGGTTGTTTAATGCTGCAACTTGGTTTAATAAAATAATTGTGTGAGCACAGTTAGTTCATACCTACTATCAAAAGAGAAGTCAAAGCAATAACCCAATTAATCCTTAGGAAGTGAAGGAAATCATTGAGAGGGTGATTAACTACACCCTATATTCTACTGTATGAGCCGAAAAGGTCATTTTTATTTTAAGTATTTTGGACCTTATTGATACAGTTAATACTTTAAAGAGGAATCAATGTCTCAGAGGCGTATTGCCATTTTCCTCTATAAATCGGCTGTTATATGCCTTTTCTGACTAGCCCTTGTTTAGAGATATAGGCCATTTCTCAGACTCTGATGCGTGGGCACCAGCACTTGACCTGCGTTTCTCCATCCCTGGTGGAGTTCAGTGAGAATGACACCATGCTTCACTTCACATCAGTTTCACCTGCCTGGTAATAGAGCCCTGCCTGGATCCAAGATGGCACCAGCGTGAGAACTACTGACTAACACACTACTTCCGATATGTCCATCTTTCAGTCAAGAGTTTCTCAGAATGGTGAACTTTATTTTCAGGGAATTCACTAGAAACTATCCTACACACGTTTAAGCAAACAATTTACTGGCTTTGATACAAAACAGCCTAAAAAGGGCAATATATGACTTTACCATATAAAAATGAATCCATCTTTTTTGTTGCACACTATGATTTGAAAAGAAGTATTACATTGTCTGCCAAGTTCAGTAGTACTTTTTCCAAAAGTTTTGTATATATATATACACTATATTGCCAAAAGTATTTGCTCACCTGCCTTGACTCACATATGAGCTTAAGTGACATCCCGTTCCTAATCCATAGGGTTCAATATGACGTCGGTCCACCCTTTGCAGCTAGAACAGCTTCAACTCTTCTGGGAAGGCTGTCCACAAGGTTTAGGAGTGTGTTTATGGGAATTTTTGACCATTCTTCCAGAAGCGCATTTGTGAGGTCGCACACTGATGTTGGACGAGAAGGCCTGGCTCTCAGTCTCCGCTCTAATTCATCCCAAAGGTGTTCTATCGGGTTGAGGTCAGGACTCTGTGCAGGCCAGTCAAGTTCATCCACACCAGACTCTGTCATCCATGTCTTTATGGACCTTGCTTTGTGCACTGGTGCACAGTCATGTTGGAAGAGGAAGGGGCCAGCTCCAAACTGTTCCCACAAAGTTGGGAGCATGGAATTGTCCAAAATGTCTTGGTATGCTGAAGCATTCAGAGTTCCTTTCACTGGAACTAAGGGGCCAAGCCCAGCTCCTGAAAAACAACCCCACACCATAATCCCCCCTCCACCAAACTTTACACTTGGCACAATGCAGTCAGACAAGTACCGTTCTCCTGGCAACCGCCAAACCCAGACCCGTCCATCAGATTGCCAGATGGAGAAGCGCGATTCGTCACTCCAGAGAACGCGTCTCCACTGCTCTAGAGTCCAGTGGCGGCGTGCTTTACACCACCGCATCCGACGCTTTGCATTGCACTTGGTGATGTATGGCTTGGATGCAGCTGCTCGACCATGGAAACCCATTCCATGAAGCTCTCTGCGCACTGTTCTTGAGCTAATCTGAAGGCCACATGAAGTTTGGAGGTCTGTAGTGATTGACTCTGCAGAAAGTTGGCGACCTCTTCGCACTATGCGCGTCAGCATCCGCTGACCCCGCTCCGTCAGTTTACGTGGCCTACCACTTCGTGGCTGAGTTGCTGTCGTTCCCAAACACTTCCATTTTCTTATAATACAGCTGACAGTTGACTGTGGAATATTTAGGAGCGAGGAAATTTCACGACTGGATTTGTTGCACAGGTGGCATCCTATCACAGTTCCACGCTGGAATTCACTGAGCTCCTGAGAGCGACCCATTCTTTCACAAATGTTTGTAAAAACAGTCTGCATGCCTAGGTGCTTGAATTTATACACCTGTGGCCATGGAAGTGATTGGAACACCTGATTCCAATAATTTGGATGGGTGAGCAAATACTTTTGGCAATATAGTGTATATATCTAGGTGTGTGTGTGTGTACGCCTGTCTAGCCCTCTGAGTGAGGACCACTTTTCCAATTTCATCATCAAATTGAGGACCAGTTGTGGCAAAGTGAGGACATTTTGGTGGTCCTCACATACTATTTTGCTAATGGCTAGGTGTAGGGCTACAGTGTCAATTGGTTTGGGTTAGGGTAAGGGGGAGGTATGCATTGGTAGGGGTTAGGTTCAGGGTTAGTTATAGGGTTAAGGCATAGAAGGGGTTGAAAATGACTTAAAATCAATGGAAGTTAATGGGAGTCAATACATGGTCCTCACTACGATTGCAGAACAAGTATCTATGTGTGTGTGTATTCTTAAACTTTAAGAGAAGATTCTTGCAATGAACCATTTGTATTTAAACAAGTTAATGCAAAGTGATCTATTTAAAGAACTATGAGATACTGAAAAACACAAATCATGCTTTATCGAAAACTTACAGGTTTTACTTTCATCAAAGCACTAAAGGTTTAAAATTCAAATTTGGCTTTTTACTTTGTATTTTTTTTATCATAGCAATCATCATTTAAGTATAAATTTGGAAACATTTGTAGAAAGGCAAATACATTAAAACAGCATGAATGGAGATACAGAAACTACTGATTACTGTACATCTTTTATTTAAAAGAAATATATAAATAAAACACAGTATAAGCATAAATAAAACTGTTTTGTTCCTGTTAATGTAGAAATGTTTTGGAAAAAGCTTGAATCAATGAGATAGAAAAGTAATAACAGACAACAGTGTTTTTTTACTGTTTATTTATCAATGCTCATTATGCATTAGTTATCTGTCACATGGATCAAGAGGAGTACAGAAAAAATACTGAAAACCAAACAAAATCTAAATAGTTACTTAATAGTTACTGCTAACATACAAGCTAATACTGGCATGTTCAGCTAACAAACAGAATAATAAAATAATAACTTCAAACACACTTATTTAATGTTATTTTATTTAAAACATTTTTTTTTATTAAACATAAAACCTGGAATAACTTGGAAGTTTCTTTTCACGTTTACCATTGTAAAATGATAAAGGATAACAGTAGCAGTTTGTGAAAAATATTCTCTGGGGGGCTAATGTAAAAATATATTCACCAACCTACTCAGATAATGGAAATGGAATCAACAGTGAGACGACAAATTCATTTAAACAGTAATGATTTCATTTCTTTCTTAATGTGTCCAGTTTTACAGATAATGTAAATGAGCAATTTTACATTTTATAATGGTAAATGCAGAAATGAAGGGTATCAAATACAATAATCAATAAAAATCAATGGTGTGTTCAGCTGAATCTTTAAAAATTATGGAAATCAACTGTGTGTACGTGAGTGAAAGAAAGAAGGCTGTTTGTGTCTCTAAGGTGAGTTTACAGTGATAAAAGGTTGTCCAATGATGGGCAGCCATCAGCTGTTGTTTCTACAGATGCACCTGAGAAGCTCCTGTTGTGCTGTTGGAGTCTCCTTGCAGCAGAGTGGCTCTGACCAAGTGCTTGCTGAAAGAACCCCCCCCCCCCCCCCCCCCCGGCATTGAAAATGATGGTATCATATACCTATGACAGGATATACAAAAATTGTATTGTTTATTTTGTTACTTTAAACAAGCTCCACCTACTGTACCTCTGCCAAGGAGGTTAAATTTTAGTCACATTTGTGTGTGCGTTTGTTTGTTTGTTTGTCTGTTTGTCTCTCTGTGTATAGGATAACTTGAGAAGTTATAAACAAATTAATTTTATTGAAATCTTTACTAAAGGTGCACCTCAATCCAAGGAACAATCCATAAAATGTTGATTATGATCCACATCACAATCTGGATGCAGATTAAAGATTCTTTTTATTGTTTATTTATATTATTTGGAGGACAAAAGCAGTTCCCCTGTAAACCAGAGTGGCAGCAGTGATATTGACAGCATCAAAATCTGACGCAAAAAAGTCCAGAAGTATTATAGTGAAGACAAAAACACAGGAAAGGTGAGTCATGCGTCACTCAAAGTCTAAATCTGTTTATTAAACAAAAAAGCAGAGTACAAAGTGAATGAAGAAGGTGAGAGCAGAACAGACACCAAAACCTCCAGACATACGCTTTGCCTTAATTATAAAGTTATGAAAGGATTTCAAGGAAATTGTTTCCAGAGATGTGCCTTATGCTAACAAACAATTCATAAATTTTTAGTATTCAGGTGGAAATTATTGACAATTGGCAAGCCACACTCAGTAAAGCAGTGGTTCTGCAGGTGGGGAATATAGACCGATTCTCAGTACGTTTTGGTTACTTTTGAATGTTGGTTGGCTGCTTTTAAACTTGTTGCATGAGATGGACTCTACAACCCACAGAAGTGGCTCAGGTAGTGCACCTCATCCAGGGTGGCAGGTCAATGGAAGCTGTGGTAAGCAGGTTTGCTGTGCCTGTCAGCATAGTGCCAGAGGCTGGAGTCGCCACCAGCAGACAGGCCAGTACACCCAGAGACATGGAGGAGGCCGTAGGAGAGAAACAACCCAGCAGTAGAACCACTACTTCAGCCTTTCTTCAAGAGGAAACAGGAGTAGCACTGCCAGAGCCCTGCAAAATGAAATCCAGCACAGAAACCCTTGTGAGACCATATGCTGGTGCGTTGGCCCTAGATTCCTCCTAATGCAGGACAATTAGTGTCAGCAGTTCCTGCAAGATGAAGGCATT